CCCTAAATCGCAGGGTATTCATTTTAAAAGTCTGTAGCTCGCCTCCAGAACACTCCTACACAGGAAAAAAGTGGACTAAGGTTATCAGAGGGTCGCGGGTGAGGATTGTGGGGCAAAAACATTGTGGGCGTAGCCTGTTCCAAGGTGGGCCGAGGTGGGCGGAGTCAGACAAAAGATCTGCAAAACGATCCCAGAGCACTCCGAAGACCGGAAAAAAAGTGGATTAAAGGTCAGCAGAGGGTCGTCGGTGAGGATTGTGGGGTAAAAAACGGTCGGCGTGTCGCGGAGCCTGCTCCGAGGTGGGCGGAGCAGGACAAAAAAGGTCCGTGAAACGGCTCCAGAGCACTCCGAAGATCGCAATAAAGTGAATTCAGGTCAGCAAGGGGTCGCCGATTACGAAACTCGCGGTATACATATTGCCGGCGGGGCCAGCCCGAGGTGGGCGGAGCCGGACGAAATTTCTCTAAAACTGTCCCAGAGCACTTCGAAGACCGGAAAAAAAACGGATTAAGGTCAGCAGAGGGTCGCCGGTGAGGATTGTGGGGCACGAAAATTGGGGCGGGGCCTGCTGAGGTGGGCGGAGTCAGACGAAGAATCTGTAAAATAGCTCAAGAGTACTTCAGACACCGGAAAAAAGTGGAGTACAGAACAAAAGGCGGATATCAGTTGAGTCTAGAAATATGTGAAAGAAAGTACGCGCGGCGAAGCCGCGCCCGCCCGGCGCAGCCGGGCCGTATCAGAAGGAGCCGCGCCGGCGTCAGCCGGCGAGGCGACTCGGTAAGTTATAGTAGCCTACCGACATTAACATCCATTGCAGCGGCGGATTTATCTGTAGTACGGATCCGATACCAGTAGTACCCGGAGGCCATTTGTGAGTTCAAGTCCTCGATACTGCAATAGAATGAACTGTTCTTTTTAGGCCAAAATCACGCTGAAAAATACAGTTGAAGAGGCACTCCATGCCGACTGAATGGGAGTCACGCCTACCGTTCCACTTTCTTCATTGGCGCTCCCACGCTCGACTGGCTCTTCTAGCGCCGTACGAGACAAGAGCGCGCTAATAAAGGTTTTAAAATGTACCTGGCCTCACTTCCCGAGCTCAAAGCTTCGGAATGAATAAAAGGTATGAGCATACTCATCCCTTTCAGCCTAATTCCTTTATTCTTCTGATTGCACTTGCAAGCCCAGTTTGGCCTTGGAAGGACTCAAACCATGGCTCGGATGAACCCTTCTACAGGCAGGGTACAGCATTGGGATGGGTAGAATGGTAACAGTACGCCCGCACCCCCCCCCCCATCCCTCCCCTCCCTCATAGGACAACAGCGGTGCGATCGTTCGCGCGCTATTCAAATTTGGGTCCATGCCTTTCGAAAGACTCACATCGTCATAATCTTTCGTTTGCTTCCTCATCAGTGCTGACTCGCCCTGCCCTAAGGACCTCCCCCTCTTCAGCGACCACAAACGACCTGCTGATGGGCTTCTGCCAGCGAAGTTGTACCTTTGCGCAGTACAAGGTGTCTCGGAATTTCGTAAGCTGAACCTCCCAGATGGATTCGATATCAAATATATGATCCAGGCGAGAGTGGAGCTGATCGATCTAAGCATCAGACTTGTTTCGGGACCTGCATGTTGTACCGATTGCTGGGCCGCGCACTACTTCTCCAATCGCACCATCCCGATAGTTGAAGCCGTGCCACCACTCTTCATTGCGATGCCAGCACAGAAAGGCAATGGCGTGCTGAATCGGGGCACGGATCTGCCACCTGGTCTACAGAAAGAGTGGCTAGGTCACTGCGGTTCCTGAATCTATGAAAATCTGAATGAAAAGAGTACGAACCTCTCTCTGATCTGACGGGCTCTTGACGATATCATCGTACCTCTGGGAGATGATGTCCTCTGCTACCATCTTGAACGAAGATGATAACTCAAAATGGGTCTGCTGTACAAACTTAACTACCTGAACCGTCTCACGAAAGCACTGTGAGCTAACACGATGAGGACGCTGTAGAAGGAAACGTGCCCTGCTTCGATGGATTGGGTTGGCCCATAAGCAATGGCTTTTTCTCACACAAGAGATCGCGGACAGGTGGAAAATTTTGCCCCTGAGTTTCACACTGTTTTGCAGAGAATTCCCTGCCCTACAGAAAGCTTTCTTAGTTTTTTTTGAGAATTCTGTTTTTACTGAGTTGAAGTACTCGAGCTGGAATGCAAGCTACAAGATTGAGCACTCTACAAGAAGGTCCGAAAAGGCAATCTACGTAAATTTCTATATTATGCCACATAAACACATGGTACGACCACGCATAGCTTGCGTGTGGTGACTATCAGCCCCCAGCTGTCGAAGCGTAGCGGTTTCCCCGTCCTAACATGCGCAGGAATGGAGATACAGGACCGTGAAACACGCTAATTCCTCCATGCTCCGCCCAATACCTTTTGCGGCGCAACTCCCGTTCATGCTAACATCCGTCGTGTGCGCGCGTGTCGCGTGCGGCTCTCTTGGCTTTTTGCCAAGTCCTGTAATTGCGCTTTGGAATACAAGTAAAACGCAATTTCCTGATGCGGATAACATTTGAGGTGTTGCTCATGCTTCAAAGTCCGAATAGAAGGTGATGAAGATGAAGGCTAGAAATGAAGAACAACGAATGTAGATGTAAATAAAACAAAATGAAAAAATTCAAGGAGATGTTGATTAATGTCGCGATCCGGGCGAGTCCAGCTCCAAAGCCGTAGAAATACTTTAAGCTAGCGAGTGGGACGCTTAGACCGTTTTTATTTTCATGTTTCGTGGGAATGCGCGGCCTCCGAGGGATATTGCAGAAGCAGCACAGTTGCTCTTGAGTTCTGGCCCTCGTCATCATCTTCGGTTCTTATTTTGCAGCACCTCAAATGTTATCCGCATTAGAGACTCGCATTCCAAAGCGCAATTACAAGACTTGGCAAAGTGCCAAGAGAGCCGCACGCGACCCGCGCGCAAGCGACGGCTGTTAGCATGAACGGGAGTTTGCGCCGCAAAAAGGCATTGAGCGGAGCATGGAGGAGTCAGCGAGGACAAGTGGAACATGGTACTCGCGGCTCCTCTCTATGAGCTGTGTTATTGCCTGTATGTTGTCCATACAGGAGAAATTCTTGCGGAAGCCGGCCTGCTCTGGTGGTTGATAGTCGTCCAAGATGCGTTCCATACGGTTGAGCAGTATTTTCGTGAACGACTTATATCGTCGAGAGCAGACTGATAGGCCGGTAGTTGGCAATCTCCTCCCTCTGGCCTTTCTTGAACAGAAGAGATTCTCTCCACTGTTCTGGAATCATTCCTAATTGCAGGTAATGACTGAAGTGCTCAGCGAGAAGTGTGTGAAGGGACTTTCCTCCTGCACGAAGAAGATCGGCAGATATGCCATCGGGTCCAGGAGCAGTTCCTTTCTTCATCTTTTTGATCGCATTTGCAACTTCCGATTCCAGAATAGGAGGGGGTCTTCAGCAGGCGGTACAGAGCATCTAGGGACGTTTGTGGAAGAGCGGAAAAGCTTCGTGTAGAAACCACTAACGATGTTCCTCGATAGATCTTCTAGATGTTTGTATTCTTCCATCCTTGTCTATAAGAGCTGAAATGACATTTCTTTGATCGTTCAATCTCGTTTACAGCGTTTGATGCTCGATCTTGTTTCTGCCGCCTTCAGCAGTCTAGTTCTTCTGTAAGCTCGGAGTGATTCTCTGACGGCAAACCGGCATGCCTTGTTGATGGTGACTTTTTCCAAGTGCGTGGCATTGGGGTCCATTTTCATAGCCCTCCTCTTTTCCAACAAAGTTACTGCGGCAGCATTGAGAGGGATGGAACATCGTGCGAGACGTGAAATCTCTGCGCACTTGGACAGACCTTCAACCAGATACTTTGTAGTCTTCTGATGGGTCGTCCAGCAAATGCCAGCTATGAGCCTCAATGCAAGCTCCCAATTGCTCAGTGTTGTAGGAGGGAGTTCCTCGAAGGTAAGGGCCTATGCCTGTCGCGCTTGAATAATTTCTTCTTGAGACATACTTTGGCACGTATCAAACGGTGGTCTGAGCCAGTATCGAATGACGGCAGTACTGATACGTCGAATAGGCTCCAGCGTCGATTGGTTAGGATGTGATCAATTTCCTTATGCGTTTCTCCATTTGGACTTTCCCAGGTCCATCGTCGTCTAATCGGCTTCTCGAACATAGAGTTTCCGTGATAAAGGCGACATGCAGACAGCAAGTCAAGCAGCCTTTCTCCATTCTCATTTCGACTGTTCGTCCGTGGGGCCCGAGTCGCCAATCGCCGTTGTGGTTCGTGCCTATAAGGGCATTGAAGTCACCAACAACATATTTGTAGTAACTTCTCTCATTCTGAACGTATCTTCTAGAAGCTGGTAAAATTCTTCGCGTTCTTCGTCAGTGGCGGCGGAGGTGGGCGCATATCCGTTGATAATGGATATGGTACCTTGATTTTTGGTCAGAAGACGTAGAACAGCGATGCGTGGACTAACGATTTTGTGAGAGTCGACTAGGTGGACCACTGCCTGGTTTACGAGAAATCCAACTCCGCCGACATTCTTGCCATCCACCTTGGCTCCGACAATAAGCAGCTCGTTGTGATCGGTTTTTCTAATGGTTTCCGTTCTGCCCTTCGTCTCTTGTATAGCGATAACATCGTACTTGATCTGACGACTCCTCAGCAAAGTGTTCGGAGATCAGCATCCGATGCAATAGTCCGACAATTATACGAGCAGACGAAGAGGCAGTCCTTGTGTCGTTGGGTGGGGGAGTTTCCGGGTTTCCGATTATTTGATGACGTCCTGATTCCCTGACGAGATTAGATGGCCCCTCATCGGTAGAGGCAACTCCTGACGTCGTAGAAGAGCATATCCGATGTACGCAGGACTGGGGCGCTATTGAAGCTGTTTGAGCAGAAGAAGTGGCTTAGGTTACTCCCTTGTTCCTTGCTAGGGATACAAGAAAGCCGCCCATACACATTACTGTGCGTAATGCGTAGCCGTTTGTACCACTAGTGGTGTGCAATAGTCACCGCGATGAGGTGGTACATAATAGGGTACACCTCCGCTAATGGTGTATTCCCTTTGCCGTACCAAAATAATGTGGAATACTGTAAGGCCGAAGAAGGACTCGAATATATATATTACCGTTCTTACTTCTCCTATGTGATGAAATACATGGATGCGAAATCCCATTCTCAACCAGTTTTGGGGTGACCGATTAGAACCCATTACAGCCAAACCGGTTCAAAATATGCAATAAAAAGTACTGAGATACGCCAAAAAAAGTTATAATAAACGAGACTGCCGGATTTCGAATTCATTTCAAACTCTATTTTGCATCCATCCGAGTTTTTTTTTTCTTTGTTAGTAAGAATGAAATGTTGACCTTATATCAGCAAAGGGCCATAATTTGATTCCCTTTTCCTCCCCCGAAGAGCTTGTGATACTGTACGTGGAGAGCAGAAAAAAAAATCGTAAACGCCCTTTGAGATGCCGCGCACTCGTTTGCTCAGCAACTGGTTTGGGTTCAAGGATATAAGAGAATAGTTTGTAACAAAAATTTCAGGACTGATTGCTAGTGGGCCGATTACTAAGACACGTCGTATGCTGGGATAAAAGGGGGTCGTGTTTGGTACATAGCTTGAGGGAGAGAAGGGTTCTGTATGTCACCTGGTTTCTTTCTGTTTTGAGTGCGCTCTTACCCTACCCCGCTCGACATTCCTTGCGGAAAAAATGGTGTTTTTTTTTGCGAAAAACCCCGGAAATTAGTAGGAAGTTGGGAAACATCAATAAGATGGTTGGTAGGATGTGGAAGTCGTGATTCACAGAATTTTTAGTCGACGGCGATGTGCCTTTCTCTTTCCATCGCCAACATAACTCTGAAAACTTAAACCACATGGTTATTTCCTGAAATAGCGGCGTGGGAAAAGCTCTTGACCGCAATTCGTGACATCTCTGCATGCAATAAGGGAATGGGCGCTTACTGCCAATGTCATTGGTAGAAGGGCTGGGCAGGGCGCTCGGCCAAATTCCGCTCATCCTTAGTACGGATAAAGTTGGCAGTAAATGTACACCCCAGCCATAGTGGATACTGCCTTATGCTGTGAGTCCTAGCAAGTCTCACAACTTCTTGAAAGCCTGCACTCGTAGTGAAAAGGTTGCACTTGTTATGCCTCACACAGAGTCAGGGGAGCCTTGGCGGCGGTCTAACGGGAGGGGGGAGGGTGCGTAGGTGAATCGACAAAAAGCTTCTATCAATCAATCTCCTTGGCCTGTAGTTGTGTCCCTTCCCTCCCAACGAGCACCCGGTCTTTTTTTAATGGGATTTATCGACCGTTGTCACATTGGCAAAAGTGTGCTGATTCGAACGGTGCTTATTTCGATTAAATCCGATGAGTATTAAGAAAGTTATGATCGTTCAAAGTGAAACACTGGAGAACGCTGAGAACTTTCTGGGCAACCAAATAGTATGTATATAATGAAGATTTGTCACAGCGCACTTACAAGTGCATCATATTAACTAGTGAATTAATTAATTAATAGTTATTAAAAGACATTATCAGGGCAGTTGGGCGACGGGGGTGTAGTTTGCCTTTGCTGCATCACTAGTTCCGCTTACGAGACTCACTGTGGAGAACCTGTGAACTTTTCAGAAGCTGGAGCAAGCTCAACGAACCACCATGGTAGGACCTGTCTATTAAGACGTCGGCGGCGTTTACTCCCGGGAGTACACAAAATAACTCCGCTTTCGGCGAATCGTGTACTTTTCTTCATCTTTTCCGATGGGAATTGGATACAAATCATCAAAAAACAACAGAGAAATAATACTTCCCACATTAGAAGATGCAGTACTACCAAAAAATACACAAAAACTTTTCTCGTTAGACCTATGGGCTACTCGCAGGAGTACACGCGCATCTTCGCTTGTTTCTTTTTTTGAGATTTTTCTCTCCTTTTGCCTGTGAACTATATACAAATAATAAAATAATTAATATAGAAGTAATATTAAGAAGAATTAACACTAACATTAGGTGAAAACCATTAACATTTACATTAATATTAAGAAGTACCAACATCTTCTCTGCCGGTTCCAGTCAACTTCAAAAAAGGCAAGAAACCCAGTTCATTTACCGAAAATTAAATAAAACTTGTAGAAGGGAAAAAATATTGAAAGAACGGAAAAAACGACTTGTGTGAGTTTTGCCAAAGTTATATCCGTCGCGAGCGCGCTGAACCATAAACGGGAACGATTGCCTATGTGTCGCCCGCCGCGAACGCGCCGCCCGACAAACGGGAGTTTTTGGCGAAACGCCGCCGCCGCGAACGCGTTGAAGAGGAGGCTCTGAATGGGTAAACATATCGATGGGAATTTGCAGAAGTGCAAAATGCCCCCGCCCCACCTCTGTCATGAAACTGCCCCCGTCATCGTGTCGTTGTTATTGCTGTTGTCGTCGCTGCTAATGTTGTCGTTGCCATTGCTACAACCACGTTATCGCTCGGAGTCAGTCAAAGTAAACGAATTTCGCGAAGGTTAGAAACGCTGACGAATTCTCAACAACTTCCGTGTAGAAGCACGAAAATATGACTACACTAGACGCAAAAAGATCATAGTCTACGACGAAAATCCAAAGTGTCCACCAGCCACCAAAGTCAACCAGAGGACTAGATGAAACCATTCACATCGCAGTAATGCGACCATTACTGCGATGTGAATGGTTTACAACGGCGATATAGGACGGCATGTAAAAATGAAACGGACTCTGAACTGCTAAAAAGAAACTCCGATGACTCAGTGAAGTGGTTCTGTGACTTCTAAACCAATTAATCTTCTAGATTGCCACCTTCCCCCTACTTCTAGGGAATGAATCGCGTTCATTTCGCAGAAACGCACGCGACAACGCGCGCGAGCCAAACACGGCAGCACCTTTTTGTCTTTTTTCTTACTAATTCTTTATATTCAGTCGGGTTTTCTGGTACCTTTTACTAGGGGAGGATCATTCACCTGGATGACTAAACAAAGAACCCGTGATATTCAAGCGATACATTTGCTCGGTCTTAAAGGCACTTTCCGCGATAAAATAAGGCTATGACCTTTCAAATGTGTCAGACGATCCGGAAGGAGATTGCGGAGGCTGCGCTACCTTTAGAAAGTGAAAATCCGCAAGAATTCCGCTTCAAGCTAACCAATTAGGCCCAAGGGCGCCCCTTAGGCCCATGCCGACCCCCACCGGCTGCTAGCTACTAGCTAGTAGCCACTATGCTATCTCTCTCCATTCCGAATGGTGAGAGTGAGGTGATACGATAAAAGAGCTGATATCTTTATGATAACGACGAGTGGAAATTCGTACAAACATGCGTTTTTGCATGCATGTACAAGTTGGGGTCGTCATACGGTCCTGTACC